GATTGACTCAACTTTCTATTGCTTTTTTACTTTATTATGGAAATGATCCACAACAAACAATAAATATAGCTTTAGAACATGTAGATCCTATTGTTTTCACTACAAAATCAATATCTGTAGTAGATACAAGATGATCAAGTTCAAAAGATAGAGTATTATTAAGTAGAGCAACAACAAATACTCCAAGAAATTTAATAGGTTGAGCAAGTACAATCAATGAAGATAAATTCATTTCTTCATTTGAATCAATTAAAATAAATGATATAGATAAGAAAAGTAAGACTTTAATGAAATATATCAGATAATTATTTACGCAAAAATATCAATAGATTCTTATGGTTACGAATTTTCTGATAAGCTTCATGAACATCTTCAGAATGAACATTTTCGAGAATCTATTTATTCTCTTATCAAATATGTTTATATTGCTTCGAATCTCAGTTATTATATGTACAGTAGGATCGAAAATTTCTGTATACATACTTTGCCAATGAAATGTATGCATACATCAATTTTTAGATCTATAACACGTATGATAAGGATGTTTTTTTTTGTTAAAGAATTTCTTTGTTAGACTTCTACTTCGTCGTGGTGCTAATTCTTCACTTAGTGATTGGTCATTACTAGTTCTTGCTCTAGCCGTTCGAGCTGGTGATAAAGATATTGTTGAACTATTATTAAAGAAAAAAGCTCAAGTTAATTGTCGATTAAATGTTGTTCGTCATGCTTCTTTAATTCCATTACATATTGCTTGTGGTTGTTTATCATCAAATGTAATCGATATTGCTCAACAATTATTAGAACATGAAGCACATATCAATGCAGAATCATTACCAAGTGATCAAGAATATTTATCACTTGCTGATCCATCAGTTATCGATATACATAGAATAGTAAAGAGTTTTTATATTTCGTCAAAAAACAGAAAAAAAACCATTTTAGAATGGCTCTGTTCCACATGGTCGTACTCCTTTACATATAGTATGTACACGTGAAGCAACAGAAGATACATTATCTCTAGTTCGTCTACTTCTTGAACATCATGCTAATCCAAATGCTCTATGTAATGGTCGAACATCACCTTCACTCGCTATCACTCTTGGAAATGAACGTTTAGTTGATTTACTTATCAATCATGAAACAACAGATCCATCGACTTCACTCGGACTAAGAAATGGAAAAGTATTATGTACTATTTTATCTACAGTTCAAGAATCTCAATGGACTTATGCTAAACGATTAGAATTAGTATGTAAAGAATCGATTAAAAGAAATTTATTTAATTTATATTTTATTTGTATTTTAAATTGAACGTCTCATAACAAAAAATCCTAAAGTTCTTTACTCAAGTTGTATTTCATTTTGCACAACGATTCAAACTAATTCATAATATAGATTATATGAAACAGAAAATGACAATTGTATTAGATAAGTGAATAGATACAATAAAGATGAAATTCACTGTATGGATCAGATGTGACAATATTAAATAATTCACTGAATAACCTATATAAACATCAAAATTTGATATCATTCAGATATGTATATAAAGATGAAATCAACTCTGCTAGATTGTAACAAGTCGGGGATAGATTTTGATAACAGTTTCTCTAATGTTTTCATCTAGTCTCGATACAAATTTTAAATTATTTTATAATTCATCTGAATCATTGTCTTGATCATCTGAAATAATTCACTTTTATTGCTTTTATTTCGATTCACTTTTTCTGAATTAAATATTATTGAAAATCTATTTTAATTAATAATCGATTACTTCTATATATATGGAAGAATGCTTGAAAAACATCATGAAATGATTTAAAATTACAGTAATGATCAATAAATATATGTCATTTTTATTGGACATGAAATACATTAATAGAAAAACTGTTGACTTTAGCATTGAGAAACAAATTAGTATCAAATATGAATAATAAACAGAGGCTTCATTGTTAGACTTACAAGAGGAGGTCCCAATATGATTAAAATCTTTCGAGTTCATCTTCGGTCTAGTCAAGGAGGACCTATATATTAGAACAAGCTCCAAAGGGTTCGTGCAGATGTTAAGAATTGACTGAGATGCTGACTTTTTTAGTGAATTTTCTTTGTATGGACTCAATTTTTCGATAAAATCCTATTGTCGAATTTTGACCCGAAAAATTTATTCAGATGAAGATCTCAGTGATATTAGCTTATACACAAAATTTCAGAGGTTTTCGATTGAATGTCTCTAAGATATACATTTTCCAGACTCCAGATGGTTTTCCATTCATATCGTATAAAACATGTATATTTTGGAAGATGCATATTCGGAGACACTCAATGAAGAACTTCTAAAATTTCATACATAAGCTAATCTTACGGAGACCTTCATCTAGGCAAAGTTATCAGGTCAACATTTGACAATACGATTTTATCTAAAAATTTGGGTCCATACAAAGAAAATTCACTAAAGCATCAATATCTCAGCTATATCTTCACGTCAATACGAATCATTTAGAGAATACTCTCGACTATCAATCCCCTACAGCTGGGTGCAATGTAAACTCACAAACTTTTAATCATCTGGGAACCTTCTCTCTGTAGTGGAATCACTAACCATGCTAACATTCTGTGACTCTTACACTTTTGACTTCGAAAAAATATTATTCGATCTAAACATCAAATTTGAAATATTGCTAAAACTTACGTAGTTATCATTACTAGCAAATCAAAAAGAAAATGTCATATCTGAAAATATATATATAAACTTTTTTTATTAAATATATAACATGAAACAAATAGTAGACCATCATAATATGTCTTCTAAAATCAAAACAAATCATGTAAATATAACGAACAGTGAAACAAGTATTGTTTTTATTAGAAGAGTATCATCTAGGTATATAATTATGTAAATACTACAATTTAACTAAGAATATTCAAAATTGATTTTGATATGTAATAATAAGGAGATTTCAGTAGAATATTATTAAGATTTCTAATCATTGAAAACTCATTTAACCACTTTTTGAAATGCGATATTAAAATATTATCAGTATGCATTTAGAGAAAAGATAATATGCATCAAATATCATAACTCCATTTGTGTAATACAATACTATAATTTGTCAATATTGTTTTATTATTCGAACATTTGTAACATATGTTGAACTATTTCCTTAATTAAACATACAGGTTAGCGACTGTTATTGTGGAATAAAACTTGAAGAAAATTCCAAATATTGAAAATGAGATGAGCGAAATCCCACCAATCGCCAGCTACATATTTTGAGGGTCAAATTATTTTCATAGGCCTTCAAGCTTTTATTAATTTACCGTTCAAGATATATAGTAGTAATAGTAAACGATTTTTTTAAAGAATCATTTTAAGTATAATATTGAATAAAATCTTATCAAAAGAATTTTAAAAATTTAGTGAATATCAAATCTTGTTTTCTATTAGCCGAAGTATTTGAAAGAAAAACAGATTAGAATAAGAATACTTATGTTCATTTGAGAAAGCTCTCTGAGTGATTATACTTTTTAATCACTCACGTTGAATAAAAAAACAATGAATAGATTAACTCGTTGAACTTGCTATCTTTCTTCTATTAATCTTCCGTACTTATTATACTACGTACAATATGATTTGTATCAATTCATCATAAATAGTAGAGATTGAATACATTTTTTTCATTTTAATCTATTCTTCAAGCAGCCACGACAGGAAAACATCGTAACTTGGTGTGTTTACCATAATGGTACATATGATGGATCGTCTATATTCAAAGAGTCACTTTTGTTCTCTCTGTTTTTTTAGACTTTTTATCAAGTGTCGTTCAATAGTCTATAGTTAAAAAATTGTCTCTACTGGAAAATAACATAACTATTGTCCTTAAAACACTAACTATTATTTTAGCGTAAAAAATAGAAAACTAAAAGAATTCCAACAACTCATATTGCATTTTCATGATAAAATGAAGCATTCCAATCTATAGATTTTGATAGTGCTATGTGATATGGTTTAGGGTTCAAAGACAATTTGATGAATGCGACCAATGGACTTCACATTTTTTATCCACAACATTTGCATAGAGTCACAGGAACAGTCACGTTAAAAATAAATACTCGTCTACTGATATTTTACCACGAAACTTGAACGATGGAGCATTTTTCTGAATGAAATTGGAGTACTAAATTGTAGAATGTTATTAGTTTTTTATTTTTTTAAGTCAACATAATAATTGACATTTGAAGAAAAAAAAAGATTAGACGACTTCCTAAAGCAAAAGCTTTTTCTTCTGATTTCTAAACAAAATTATAGCAAAGCAATTTAAAGAGAAAAAGAGTAAATGAAATACATTCATTCAACCCGATGTTATTCGTTACTTTTCGTCCTTTTCTTTTGTGATAAAAAGAGTTGTTAATACTTCAAATTGACTTTCACGAGTAGGAGTTTGTGAGTATAGGTAGCTGCAGGTGATTGTACGTGTGGGTGTGGAGTGTGCGTAATAACAGTGAGTTCGAGCTAGGAAATTCCTTTTGAGTCACTCTTGCCTAGACCCTCCATTCCATTCTATATTCGCACTCTCATTACTCAGACTTCTTTATTTTGTCAGACATGCGCTCAAACTTTTTTCGTATTTCTTCTGTATTTGAACGCAACTACTTTCTAGAGCTTGTTAAAAACTGCTAGACACATGATGATAATACTTGTTATTTTACTATCTAGCTCATTAGAATTTTCAACATTATTTTTGGATTTATTGATAATTCTATATGCACAATAAAACTGATTTATCATTCTCGTTTGATTTTTACTTACTTTGTTCATTCTAAACACAAATAATTAAGGATGGCTGAGAGATGCATCTTACGTGATAAAAGAATAGAAATAAAATCATCCCATGAAGGTATTATTTGACCATTGTCCTGTTTGAACTTTACCATTGGCATAGTAAAACATGCCTTTTCCGTTCATCTTGTCATCCTTGAATTGTCCCATCAGTTGT